CAAAGTCTCATATTGTAAATATAATTAGATGCACTCGTAGAATACACTTCTTTATATCAGTCTCAAGTAGAGACTGTACACTATTATATTCACGATGGACACAGTTCTTAATTTCAGGCATAGAGAACAGTACCTTGGGATTCGGAAGCGCTACAACAGCTCCAGCACCTATAACTGTTACAACATCGTCTGCAGTACTTTGCATCTCCTACTTGTTGCTTTTCCTTTGCTACATCATCCACTGTAAATATACGTCATGCGAATTATGTCGCAACCGTCATGAATCAGTGAAGAAATATGTGAATCTAACTCACTTGGATCAATATCTGAATCAAATATTTATGCAAGAAACGTTGCATCTCTATATATACATGTGCGTGCGCATATATAAATATACATACATATATATATATATATATATATATATATATATATCGTAGGCATATTTCTCTATGTGTGCGCTTGCGGACATGATACTAAAAGCTAAGAAAGTACAATAAATATACACACACATATGTATACACATGCATTTCCTAAGAACGTATTTAACGTGCATATAAACAAATAAAGACTTCAAACAACAGAATATAGAGAGAATCTCATGAAAGTCTCAGAGCTTAGACTAATTTATTATAGGGCCCTTTTGTACTATATACTTTTTAGACAATCCATTATTTTTATTCTTTAGTCAATTATCCATACAAATAGTCGCCGTTAGTACCTTGATTCTCATCCTTGTGTACCTCAGCTGCTGAAGATATGACAAGAACAGCAGCGAGCAGAAACCCTAGAACGATAAAAGCTCTTGCCCTCATTTTACTTCGCAGTACTACTACTGTCTACTACCGAATGACATGAGGGTTTTAGTTCTTCTGAATCAATATTTATAGCTGGAGGAAGCTAATGGATAAGTGGAAACAGAAGACATATCTTCCATTAAACTGATGTGTCGTTTATGTACCGATTATAGTTGGCAGTTGAATAAATTCCCTCAGCTGTACTGTAATATATCTTCTTTGCTGACAAATATGCAGGTTAAAACGAAGACATGTCATCACTTCTTCTTGACAGACATGCAGTTAGAATAAGGACGTGTCTGCAGATTGAGTTATACACGTGGAAAGTGGTGGCGACTGGAAAAGTAAACAAAGTTTGAAGGACGAGAAAAACTAGGGGCAGTTCACTTCGTAGATCTCACTTGAGTAAATCCAATTCGAGTGTGAAATTAAGCTGAATTATGCGTTTATTAAACGCAACTCAAATTTCAAACTCGAGTAATAATTCGAGTTAGTGAGTTTCACCTAGCATTTATTTTCTCATTACTCAAATTTTATTATACAATATGGATTGCCTCTGCATAAAAAGACATTTCTTTATAATTAGAGTTTGACTTTAATACAAGTGAACACAAAATTCAAGTTTTAAATGTTAAATTAATCTCTTTTTAAACACTTAATTTAAAGTTTAAACTAAACTCAAATTCACTTTATTAACTTAAATCAATAAATTTGAGTTAGTAAAATGAACACGTAGATAAATTTTCTATACGCCTATAAATATTGGAAAACTTTTTCTCCTCTCTCCTTTGTTCTTTATTCTTTTGGCTTTGTTTTTAATTTTTAATTTTCTTCCAATTAAATATTTCCAGTTAGTGTTATATAGGGGACAAAAAAGAGGTCAATAATGTAGTGTCCACGTTGCTTTAAGGGAATTCTTTCGAACTTATCGAGTCTCGTGGTTATCAGTCCAAGCTAGAAACTGATACTAAAAAAAGTCGAGGTTAATTCAGGCTTTAACGCGACAGGATGTCTTATTCATGTGTGGATTTATTTGAAGAATGTATAATGGCACCAAAGCATGCAGATAGTATCTTCCTGCTATTAATCCTCATTCTATACCAACCAAGTGATAAGATCAGTGTCTGCGATCGAGGATAGTAGTTATATATTGACCAAATCGCAACAACTCCAGCTAATCTTATTAGTTTTGACTATGGAGATGAGAAATGATCATCAGATGGGAATTTTTAGCAGCACCCCAACACTTGATATAAAAGTCAAAAATACTACTAACACTCTGACTTGTAAACTTTTAGGCATTTTTTATTTTATCGATTCGAGTTTTTAATTTTAATTTTGTTACAGTTAAAAATTTTGAGTTTTTAATTTTAATTTTATTACAGTTAAAAATTTTCATAAAAGTCATATCTAACTTTTTTTTATTACACTTAAAAGTTTTTATATAAAGTCACATCTCAACTGAAATTTAAAACTCAAGTCGATAATTAAATCAGTGATCTCAACTCGAATTAAAAACTTAAATCGGTAATTAAATCAATGAACTAAACGATATCTAAATTCTTGTAAACTCTTTTTTATCTATAATAATTGATTTGTGATTGCAATCAGTATCAATTAGGAAGAAAAGTCAACTTGCATTCAGTAAAACGATTGCTCCAATGAACAAACCCTCTCAGCTCCGCCATTTCTCTAGCTATGAAGGCGTATATAAAATTTTGTGACACTAATTATTGACATGTAAAAATTTTGTGATCCCGACGGGTTCTATTAGTAAAATTATTAATCAGAGGGATTCAAATCATCTATATATTATGTTTTATTGTCTCGTGTTTAACCGATTATTATTTTTTGTGTTATTATTGCACTCAAATATTAAAGCAGGAAAACGTCAGTTAGAATTGGAGAGGGATCTTCTCTCGCCTTTTCTTGTCTCATCCTCTATATATCTCAATAAGAACTTGCTAGGTGTATTGTTATTTAGGTGATTTCACAAAACTATTACCCCTATTTTTCTTTTCTGTCTTTTTTTTTTCTTTTAAATAAAAATCAAAGATCTTTTTTCTTTCCCTAGCTTCTTCATGACAATCCAAACTGAAGGAATTTGCAATAAGGCATTATCGCTTATTCTTCATCCAAAGCTTTCAATCTTGCTGGTCCATAAAAAGTAGTTTCAGTTTACATTTGGATGATATGAAGGGAATGAATAGACAAATCATGTGCGAATCTAGTGGATGAGGTATCTTCTGAAAATTTGAAGGGAATCAATGTTGATGCTTGAGTTTAGATTTTGGAAATTCTCCTCCTGAAAAATCTTCTTGCTCCGCCATTGGTCGTGAACACACAATACAGCGTACGAATTAACTACAGTATATACAGTAAATTAATGCACTATTTTGTCACGGACTAGAAAGTTTTATTTTCCAATAAATTAAAGGGATATAACTTTTCAGAAAAAGACATAAAAAGCTTTTTTTTTTTTAATAGTTTAGAGTAAGCAAGAGTCTACGTTTGGTAAGAACGAAAGAAAATATGTTAGGAAGAAAATATAGAAATGATAAAAAATAGTAATGATGGAAAGGAAATTGATTTTCTTTTATGTTGTTTGGTATGAGAAGATGGAAAGAAAATGAGCTTACTTTCACTTGTTTGGTATTGGAAGTTAAATTGGGAGGAAAGAAAAAAACTTACTCGTAAATTACTTTTATACCCTTAAAATTTTTACTTGGATGTTGATGGAGAAAATGGTAGTTTAGTAACTTTGCTCACTTTAGTGAGTTGTCGCCATTTTTCATCCTATTTTCTGCCCACTTGTGAAAAGAAAAAAAATAGTGGGGTCCACATGTATTATTTTTCACTCTATTTTCTCTTCCTTTCTCTTTTCTCTTCTACCAAACAACCTACATTTTCATTTTTCCTCTTAAAATCCCTCCACCTTCTTCCTTCCTTCTACTTTTCTTTCCTACCAAACATACTAGTGTAACATACATATAATTCTAGTGATACAAAAACGTGTCAAAACGTAGAAATCCGATGCAATGCCTAAAGACTAACTAGCGTGTTAAGACAATATGAATTATGAGCTTATATTGTTTGGTATCCTGATTCGAATTATGTTTCGTGGTTTGTTACAGTATTTTTTCTCACAAAAAATACACATAAATCGAGAATAATTCTGAATCATAATTTTAAATTCATGAACCAAATGTCCACACGTCTCAAAGAAATTAAATAATAATAATAATAACATGGCCATAAAAAACGCTTAGCAAATTTGTCAAATTTTTCATCTAATGTTTTCCGAGTAAACCACATGCACATATCCTACCTTTTTGTTTTACAATTTTTTGTTCCAATATTATTTTCCGAGTACACCTCATGTAGTGAATGTCTTGTTTATTTACCGATTTGAGTTTAGAATTTAAATTTTATTACAATAAAAAATGATCGCGTTTAATTTTTTTTATTACAATAAAAAATTCTCATATAAAATTACGTATCAATGACTTAAATTTTTATTATAATCAGTTGTTAATTTGTCGTCACGGACATAACGCTGGACAATATTATGCTCGAGGTGTCCGAGCAAGACTTGTCTTCTCTACAGATGTCAATTTGAAGAATGAAGCAGAGCTCATGCAGTGCTGAATTTGCGCCGCGTAGTAGAGGACGTGCTCACCCATGGCACGTATATACAAATGTTGGAACAATTTTGTTTAATTATTTTTCAAGTAATATTATAACTATTTATTATGACCTCGTTTATTAATTTAAATTTAAATTTTAAATTTTATTATAATAAAAAATTTTAAAAAATAATTATATTTAATTTTTTTAT